AACAGCAGACAGATCTCCTTCCTGCAGAGACTAGAGTCACACCATCCACAGTGTGGTCCTCTTTGCAGCTTGGCCAGGCTTCCTTTTGCATCTATGTGAACTGTGTGTCCTCTTTGTAGCTTGGCCAGGCTTCCTTTTGGATCTATCTGACCTGTGTGTCCTCTTTGCTGCTTGGCCAGGCTTCCTTTTGGATCTATCTGACCTGTGTGTCCTCCTTTGCTGCTTGGCCAGGCTTCCTTTTGGATCTATCTGACCTGTGTGTCCTCTTTGCTGCTTGGCCAGGCTTCCTTTTGGATCTATCTGACCTGTGTGTCCTCTTTGTAGCTTGGCCAGGCTTCCTTTTGGATCTATCTGACCTGTGTGTCCTCTTTGCTGCTTGGCCAGGCTTCCTTTTGGATCTATCTGACCTGTGTGTCCTCTTTGCTGCTTGGCCAGGCTTCCTTTTGGATCTGTCTGAACTGTGTGCAGATTTATGACTTTAAGCCCTTTGAGTTTGGATCTTTTGCCCTCCTGTTATCAGTTTTTTGAGTGCATCTCTTATCATCTATCTTACATACTGCAATATGAGCTTCGCTCTTTGTGTTTAAGCAATCCATCCTGTCTGCGTGCCTGAGCTAAGGGCAGATGTTTTCCAGGATGTAAATGATACATGAATCATTTTACTTAAGATGGTCATGGCCAGATATGCTAGTGGGTGAGTTCTGGATGGATGGGTGAGTTTGCTCTTGTATGTTTAATATGAATGAAATAGCGTTTTCGGTTTGTGATGCTCAGATGGAGTATAGTTCCACTAACTGTAAGTCCAATCAAAACTTTTTTGTGATAAATTGGGAAAACATCTGTCAAGACTTTTACTGCCGTCTGTTAAAGCTCATTGACACCACAGTGTGTTGTAACACAGCTAATTGGGGTCTAGTCTCCTTATACTTATTTTATTTCTCTATGTCTTGCTAGAACCCTGGATGTGTGCAAATTATTTTTGTATCTTTGTTCCCCTATTGCAGATTCTGCCCCACTTCATGTCTCTTCATTGCTGTCCAAGGCTCTATTCAGTTACAGTAACGGACCTGATAGGGCTTATGGTTCTTCATCTGCTCTATCCAAAACAATGTAAAGAAGAAAAAAATCTGCAGTTGCAGTCTAATTTTCAACGTTTTGCTCATCTGACAGATTGCACCTTGAAGTAGAATTCCAGCTTTAAAGTGATTTTATGCAATTTGTTCATGGACCAAGAATGCAGATAAGATTGCTGTGTGCGCTGTCATTCACTGTTGGTGAAGGTGGAATTTTGACATCATTCATCCACCTCTCTCCACCTTAGCCAGTCAGGCATCTTGTATTCATTGATAAAAATACAAGGCCAGCAGAGAGGCATTCAGGCTGGCTCCATTTTGGTTCCCCCAGCAGAAGTCACCTGTACTGCTGCTGGAACACCAAGTTGCATACCTTTTATGTAGCTAATGCGACAACAGTGTATTATAGCAACAGTGGCTGTAAAGAAAGTAGTTTGAGCAAACTTGACCCAAGCAGACTATTTAAGTCATAGTAAAGCTGGAATTCTATGAAGTGTGTGTGGCCAAATCTGCAATCTGATGCAATGCCAAAAAAAAAAAAAAAAATCTGCTTGTTGCATCTTTGCTTTGGTTTCTTGCAAATTAAACAGAGGCGAATTGTTACAGGTAAGCCATGTAAAACTGATAGATAAATCAGATCAAAGCTTTTTTGGCCATACTTCTCTTCTGGGTCACAGGAGTGCACTTGCTTTTATTCCTCTGTGACCCAGAATCAGCTGACAGCAGAGCCGCTCCAGGCTGTTACCCTCCATTCACACTAATGTCATTTTGTGGGCCATGGCACGGCAGTCCATTTGAATGGGCTGCTGTTACTCACAAAATGCAGGGCAAAGGTCTCTGTACCTTTACAGAAACCTCAGCCTGCACTGGGAGCTGTATTACAGTGCGGTACGCAGTGTGAGTACAATTTTCAGTGCGGGCAGCGTGCCATTAAGATTAATGGCACCTGTCCATAGGTCCTGTTTTTTGTGTGGGTGGTTGCAGCCGCAGGATAAAGTGCAAGTCCTTCAGTGGTTTCCACCTGCACTAGTTTTTAGTGTTTGTTTTTATTATTATTTTTGTGTTTTTATTATTTTAAATACAATATGAAATAATGATAAATAGCACAAACAAAAAAAAATACTAGTAAAAAAAAAATTTATATATTTGTAATGCAATTTTTTTTTCTTTTTTTTTTTTTAGGGTTAGGTGGTTAAGGTTATGGGTAAACTATTACATAGTATTCATTTTATGATTATTTTTATATATGTATTTATTTTACATCTCATTCAATTATTAAAAAAAGGACAATGTTAACATAAAAATGATTGTTAATGTTAATATTTAATTTATTTTTAATAATTTAATAAATGTCAAATAAATACATAAATAAAAATAATCATAAATGAATGCTATGTAATAAATAACCCCTAACCTTAACCCCCTAACCCTGAAGGATAAAAATGAAATTCATTGTTTTGGTTGTTTGGTGGTGGTGGTGGTTTAATTTTATGATTTTTATTTGTATATTTATTTTACATTTATATATTGTTAAAAAAAAGTTACGTTATAATATAAATATATATATTTATTTTTAATTTGAGCAGAAAATCGCACGTTTCCATTAATTTCTATGGGAATAAAAACGTGCAAATCTGTCCAATTTGAGAAACCAAAAAAGCTCCAGAGCTTGTTTGAGCTGCAGGTGACTTGGAGTGGAGATATGAACCATCTCCATTGAGAATAAATTATTTTTGCTTCTCAAGCATTTTGGAGCTTCGGGCTACAAAACACTCAGGTTTGAATGGGGCCTTTAGAGTTAGTGGGGGACAGCTGCAGTATCAGACTAGTGAGTATGGGTGTTTTTTTTTTTTTTTTTTAATACATCTCCTTTCAGTAACAATCACCTGGATCTGCATTGAGGGTTCATTTATTGAGTAAAATGTTATGTAGTTGACATTTGCCCATCTACAGGGTTTGTAATTATCATTGTTCTGAGATGTTATTAATGGCTGTAATGCTTATCACCATAGACATTACATTCTACTCGGCCCACAGCTACTGATAGCATCAGTCTGTAAAAATATTATGTTTGTAACCATAGAGCTCAGATGACTACTTCTTCTTTCCTGTAGTGCAACTGTTTTACTTCATGTAATGTGAGAATATAGCCCAGGTTGTAAAATGTTTCATGCTTTGTGTTTTGTTCATTGTATCTTTTTGTTTGCCTGTTGGATATATAGTATTGCTAGTTTTCTTCCTTACTACTTTAAAAAAGTGTGTGTGTTGTTGGGGTGTTTTGCTGTGTTTTTTTTTTTTTTTTTTTAAATATGGTTTAGTTTCTCCATCCACTAGTTTGACTGCTGATTTCTGTAGACACTAGTAGCAAAAGTACACCTGCAGCCATATACACAATGCAGTTACCAGAACTTTTATATACTATTGTGATGAGGTCCCAGTTCGCTCAGTGACCAATCACAGAACAGTAAAGGTGGGATTCACACTAGAGCTATATGCAGTAAAGTACATTGAATGGTTTGTGTGTTTTCTCAGGGTTTTAATTTAGTAGATTTAAATGGGAAGAAAATATAGCTTGGTGCGCCCAAATGTACAATGCAGTACTTTGTTACCTCACTACAACGTTTGTCAATAGGACAGTTGACATCAGTTGTTTTTCTCTAGTATGTGCATTTTGCTGAGTTTTTAGATTTGGAAATATCCACAAACCTTTGGTTTTAAGAAGCCCTATAAAAAACGTAAATGTTTACTGCACAGTTTAAATGGAGGATATGCTGTATCAACTTGTTGGAAGCTCTCCCGGAGACCTGACCTACCATAGACCACAAACTGGCAACTTTATGTAGCTGGGCCCAAAACTACAATAGTCATATCTTTACTTGCTTTTCAATATCAAGGATAGGTTTGCTGATTTATGGCTAAGTTTCCTCACTTATTGTGGATCATGTTTCTTCAGAAAGCTTAGATAATGTCCATGTGATTGGTCAGCACCGTCCATGTGACGGTGCTGACCAATCAAAAGTCCGAACTGTCATCGCTGCAAGGAGAGGAAAGCAAGTGGCGGGGATTTCAAATCTGAGACTCCACATTGGATTCCTGTAGGGAGGTTTCCTTCATGGCTGCTATGTGAACCTGGGCTGTGACATGCAATTTGGACAGGAGCTGCATTCCTATTCGATTCACATGCTAATCTGCGATGCAATTGCGTCCATGCATGCAAATCGCACTGCAAAGTATGAGTACTGTTGAAAATACTCGGTATCGGCACATCCCTAGTTGTAAAGATTGTAAGATGTGCTCTGTTTGGGGTGCCTTAATTCTAATGAAGGATCATTTGATCTTGATCAAGGGTTGGGTTTTACAAATGGGGATGTACATACATTTTAGTTATAAATGAGGTAAAGGTAATGGGGAGATGGACAGGAGAAGGGGATCTCTAGGCTAACACACCTTCATTGTCACTGAATCTTTCACAAGCTAGGGCCTCCTGTCCAGCCTTGGACTTACTATCATATTGGTCAGGTTTGGGCAGTAAACATCCTGTTGTTCGGTGTGTTAAGGATCCTATGCTATTTTATACTGTATCTAGTCATCTTTGTTGCTGGTTGGCTGTGCAGTCCTCATCTGGTTTAATACAAAGTCCTTTGCAATATGCTTCTGGAGAAGAATTGCATTAGGTCATTTCCAAGCTGCATTGATATACATTTTGTATCTAATATTGCACAGATGAGGAATGGAAGTATATTTTCCAAGTTCTGGAGGACCATTGTAACTTTTTTAATTAAAGAAAAAAAAAAGGTATAACGTCCAATACATGAAATATAAACATGTATATATTTTCTTTTAGGCATATTGCAACATCCTGATGGGACTGTCCTGAAGCAACTGCAGCCTCCACCACGTGGACCAAGAGAACTGGATTTCTACAACATGGTAACTTTCATTCAGTGGGTTTTGTAGATGAAATGTAGTGATCTATAGCTAGGTTGCATAATGTTGAAGTAAATATCTACCTCTTGACTATGTTTAGTATTAAATACATTCAGCATCTACAAACTACAGTTTTCATTAATATAAGTAATACTTTTTTTCCCTTCTGTGTCTGATCAACTTCTTCATATTTACCCTTTTTGGTTATAAGAACTCATGTATTCAGGTAGTGTTTTTTTTTTTCTTCCTGTAGATCGGTTCCTGTAGTCCACAAGTCATGTACCCTGAAAACCTTTTCTTTGTACTGTACAGTATAAAGTGGACCTCTGCAAAATATAAAATAGCCTTTTTCTTTAACACACTTTAGTATACAACAGTGGAGCTCAGTAGTGTGAAGGATGGCCTACATTTATGGATGGAGATGAGACAAACCATTTAACACTAGCAGGGGTGCTTACATTGATCAGCTTTTATTTATGTAAGACCTCTATCCCAAAAAGGACATGCTGTTCTGTAACGGCTTATAATGTATTAGCTGGAGTTTGGCTTCAGTTTGTTAGTGTATTAAATTCTGCTAATACATCTAACACTCCCCTCCCCCAGACTGACAATGCTACTGTCCAAAGGTGCCTCCTGTGCACTTTCATCCAGAGTGGGGGTACTCTATTACAGGAGGTGTGTTATTGGCCGGATCACCAAGTGAAAAAGCCAAAGAAAGTGTGTGCATCCACCACATCTAATGATTGGTAAACTACAATATATTACATTTTTGGTTTTGGGTGTTGATAGCCAGGGGAGGTACGGCGCGTCGGGAAGATTGACTTCAGGTGTAATACCGCTTTAAGTTATAGTGCTGCCCTGTTCTTATTTAGGTTCATCTTTACCCAGAGATCAGTGATGTCTGTCTGTACTGGATGTTTGGAATATCCATAGACCTAAGTTGGCTGTACATGGATGAAAATATGTCTGGTTTAGCATGGACTGACTGACTTTTGATCTGTGTATGGGCTAGCTGGTTGTACACAAGTCGATCTATAGAAATTAAGGATTTTGTGTACGTTTTTTGGTACACAGACTAATTTCCAGAAATTTAATTTATTTTTTTAATTGTGGATAAAGTATACTGACCAGACTGCAGAATTAACAGCTGTGTGCCTGACTCGAAGGTGAATTTTGCTCCTCTTTTCTTCCAAGCCTCCATCTGGCCCTGTGATTATTCATTTTGTGTTTGAACTGTTGCAGCTGCCAAGATACAGTAGAACACAAACCAGTACAATAAGTTTTCTCCATTAGATGCTCATTAAGCACCAAGTTGACTTCAGAGCTACTGTGTGTCTGTTATTTTTGATGTTCCCAGGAAATATCATAATCATTCTCTTTAACACTTCACAGATGCTGCTTATGAAAGGATAACAGCCAGAATTTTTTCCAAAATAGCCAATGACATTGGTTTTTTTTATTTTCCCCACATTTCTTTGTTTTCCACAGGTTTTCTCAAGTGACTGCACAGATCCTAAGCTCCGTGATCTGAGGGCATTTTTACCCAAATATTTTGGCACATGGTCTCCTCCAGGATGCACAGATGGTATGTGGATGTATTGTTTTATTGTTTCTGGAAATGTGTACTTTTGTTTCTAACCATTTCCTGCCTGCCGTACGTATATATTCTTTCTTGGATGGGAGTGATGATATCGGGATCATGGCTGCAGCTGTAGTCATGATTATTTTTTTTTTTTCATAGAGCAGGCGATGGGCTTTCATGTAAAAGTGATCAGAGCATCTCTACAGACACCCAATCATTTTTACAGGCGGTGGAAAGGGGTTATAAGTACATTTTCTAGCAAAAAAATCCCCTGGTTTTAACATGTATGTGAGGAATGTTCATATTTACCAAAGAAAACGACCTATGCAGATAAGGTGTATCTGTAGATTTATTTATTTCAGGTACTTATATAGTGCCGTCAATTTACGCAGCACTTTACATATATATTTTAAATTCACATCAGTCCCTAACCCTCAAGGAGCGTACAATCTAAGGTCCCTAACTTACATTCATACATACAGATACTAGGGCCAATTTAGATAGGATCCAATTAACCTGTCAGCATGTCTTTGGAGTGCTGGGGGAAACTGAAGTACCCGGAGGAAACCCATGCAGGCACAGGGAGAACATGCAAACTCCAGGTAGGTGGCGCCGTGGCAGGGATTTGAATCAACGACCCGAGTACTGCCAGGCAAAAGTGCTAACCATTTAGCCACTGTGTAGATAAAAACAAACTGCAGCTTTGACTAAAGTTGAATCATGCCCTTGCTATAGGTGTAGGCCATTTACATACCTCATGAAGACCGACTTGATAATTGTCAGTATGTTACTAAGCGAGGCCTAGCTATTACTGTTCACTTTCACCATCGCAGGAGTATTTTCTTTGATTTAGATCTCCTCAGATGTGCTTTCTCTCCCCTAATGCAGTAGCTGTGAGTTCATTGTTTTGGTGAACGTGAACAGTACTAACTTTCCTTGCATAGCTATGTCCTGGGAGTTTTCAGGTCAATCTTCATGGGATTTGTAAATGGCCTACATCTATAGCAAAGGCATTATTCAACTTTTTGGTTGAAGGGAGGGAAAAAAAAACAATGCTCTTTGGGTGATCAAGGTTCACTGCAAAGATTTTAGCAAATTTTGTTGCAGATTCCTACCTTTTTCCACTCTGAAGAAAAAGAAAAGCCTGTTTGTGGTGATGTGCAGAGTGAATCTGAGCAGCACTTACGTTTTCATTATTGATCATCTGATGCAATTGGATAGTTCCAGCCAGGAAAATTGCAGGGTCTGATTTCTTTTAGAAGTGATTAACTCTTTGGGAGTATCTCACTAATAATGACATTTTTGTTGCAGAGGATGCCTAAATTCTGACTTTATATCTTAGTGCATCCTTGAGAAAATTGGTGAACCACTTAAACAAGAAGCAATGATGATTATGGAGGTATTCTGTATCCCAATGGTGTGCAAAATCTCTCCCAGGTTGCCATATGGCATGAAATTTTACAAAAAGCTACTGAAATGCAGATTGAAGTGGATTGAATTTTCTACTTGCTAGTTTTTTTTTCCCATGAAAGTGGAATCACCCTTAAAGGTCAAGAATGGAATCCACACATAATGCAGCAAAATCTGTTTAAGCATTGCATAGCTGTAAGCACCCAGACATTGTGTTCTGCTCTATTGTCTTAGATGTTTTTGACCCATCAAATGTATAGAAAACTATTGGGTATGTTGGCTTTGACTGCTGTCCCAAATTTTCTAGGTCTCAGATGGTTTTTCATACTGCAGACAGCATGGTAGGTTATAATATTGTTTATCCTACAATTGCTTTGCTATGTTTGGTCAAATTTTTTTTTAAATTTGGGTGCATGAATGTGTGTAGTAAGGGCAAATATTTTTAAACTAGAAATGTTCTATTTTTTACTAGGAACTATATTGTGAATTTAAGAACAAATGCTAATCTATAAAAATATTTTACAGATCTTTATTTAAAACTGGAAGATGTAACAAGGAAGTTTAATAAACCATGTATCATGGATGTGAAAATTGGCCAAAAGAGCTATGACCCGTATGCATCAGCTGAGAAGATACATCAGCAGGTCAGCAAGTATCCTTTGATGGAAGAGATTGGTTTCCTGGTTCTAGGCATGAGGGTAAGTGAAGTCGTTTATGGAATATCAGATGTTGCTGTGTTTGGTTTTTCTCTCCCTTTTCTGCAGTGTAACTCCAGCTAATATTTTAGTTTTGAATGATAAGGGGGTGGGTTAGTATTACAGCAGGTCTTTATTGATGTGTGGTTTTTGGGAAATTTTGCTGAATTACTGAATACATTTAACATTCACTTCCCATGTGTGTCACCTGACTGTCACCGTAGTTAAAGCCTTCCCACCATATTCAAAAGCATAAAAAAAAAAAAAAAACTCTGGGAGTCCCAGAGGTTGAGTAGCCTGAGCTGCTGCGGCCATTTTACAAATCTTCACAAATTGTGTAGCTGTAGTAGAGAACAATCACTTTTAGCACGGACTTTTTAAATGTTATCCAAAATTTTAAAATAAAAAAAGCTTTAAAATGTTAAGTAGGTTGCAGTTCTGTAAAATAAAATTTTTTTGTAATAAAATACTGTAGGGTTCATGTTCCTATGTAGCTTTAATACCCTTCAGTAAGCATATACGTCAGTTCCCTGTCAACTCTCCTTGTTCACTCCCCTGTCTCCCTATCTCACCTGTTCACTCCCCTGTCTCCCTATCTCACCTGTTCACTCCCCTGTCTCCCTATCTCACCTGTTCACTCCCCAGTCTCCCTATCTCACCTGTTCACTCAACTGTCTGCCTATCTCACCTGTTTACTTGCCTGTATCCATATCTCACCTGTTCACTCCCCTGTATCCATATCTCACCTGTTCACTTGTCTCCCTATCTCACCTGTTCACTCCCCTGTCTCCTCACCTGTTCTTTGCAGAAGGACTGTTTAGGTCAACACACTGCAGGAATCCTCTCTACTTGCAGTTTCACATAATGCAGCACTTTTATCTCTGCTCTACAGCTGTATCCACACCACCTTGTAATGCTTACTTCTCCCATTTTATGCTTACTTTCCTTTTTGTGTTCTCCTGTTCTCACTGGAGGACATAAATTCTCAAGTGAATTTATGGCCAGAAAGTTGTGGACCACTCCCTGCTTGCATGACAGATGGCGTACATGCATGTGCAGCAGGAAAACTCAGAACACATACAGCCAGGGAACATGTAGGCAGAGCACATACAGTCTGAGAATAGACATACAGCACAGAGCATGCATAGAAAATGCATACTTTACAGTACCGCTTATATAAAGAGTCACTGAAGGCTGAAGGTTCTTTACCTTCATGCATTCTATGCATGAAGATAGAAAAAACTTATCTGTGCTCCTCCCACCGCAGCCCCACCATTATTTGCCTGAGCCCCCTCTCAGTCCAGCAATGTGCATGGGAACCTCAGCTGTGCCATTTGGCGTGTGTGTGTGTATGTTGTGTTTTTTTTAGTGTGGTCATTTGGTGGACTTTCTTTGCTGCTGTAAGTCCTTCCTTTTTTTTTTCTTTCCCTGCATGCAATTCATTGATTTTTTTTCCCTGTTTGTTGTGGAGGCTTTACTAGTGCAAAAGGGACAATGTGCTCAGTAACACATAGGAGATGAGGTTAGTCCTCTGACAGGTGTCAAGCATTCATCCCTCATATATGGGACATAATTCATGAACAAGATGGCGACTTTTAGTCATCTGTAAAATAATGTATAGAGGATGTTGGCACAGGTCGCTGAATGTATTTACATGTAAAGTGTTAACAGCAAGATGGTATCCTGTCATGCACAGGTGTGTGGAGTTATGTATGTGGAGCTCCCAGTTACTGACAGTGTAACTAATTCAGCCATCTTTGATAAACCATGCGCCAACATGACCATATTACTGGAGTTTTTTATGTGACAGTCTAGATGGGTGCTAACATATTTTTATTTGTAAACATTCTCCATGTTTGTGACACCCACTGGCCACCAAAGTGCACAGCTTTGTAACTTTTCTGTAGCTACAGTCATCCCTACAGACTACATCCCTTGTTTCAGAAGCCCATAAACTAATGAAACACTTTTTTTAACACTCCATTGAGAAATAAATTGTTTACGGAATGAGTCAAATTTTTTTCCCTGTATGTATGTCTTAATGCTAGTCAATTTCAGATGCTTCACATCTTGTTTTAAATTTCTACAGAAGGTATCGGTTCTCGCATTCACTCTATTCATATTTAGTTGCTCATACCTACATGAGCCTAGGTGAATAAAAATAGGATTTGTACTTGCCATAAAAGCCTGTTTGCTTTGTTCATTGAAGGACACAGCAGCTGTCTAAAAGGTCTCGACTGCTGGAACATAGTGCCATCTGCAGGAGTAGGTTACTAGGCACATAAGCAAAGCCTAGGGGGTGGCCCCTGCTAGAGGCAGCTAAGTTACCCATAAAGCAGGGTGGTAGCTGTGTGCTTGTGAATGTAGCAAAAAAAATAAAAAATATACGGCAAGTACACAGTGGAAAACGAAGTCCATTCACACCAGATGCGGTGGGACTGAGCTGAGCGGTTATTCCAGCACATTCCCACTCCATGACAAGGAAAATACCTCGTCTCCTGTATGCCCGATTCACAACACTGCTTTGAGTGGTGTGTAGGCATGATGCACTGAGGTGTTTTTTTTTTCTTTTTTTTTCTAGCGCCTGTGTGGTGGCCAATTGAACTTAATAAAATTTCTGTGTGACATTTCAATATAAGTTTTTTTTTTTTTTTTTTTTTAAAGGAACAAAGCAGTGATTCCCATCCAACTGCGCAGCAGACCAGCTGCTTATAAAGCAGTGGCTTTGTGAATGGACCCTAAAAGATTTTTACTGTTGTAATGTCTCAAAGCAGTGTCTAAACAATCAACTCCCCTCAGGCACTGCTTACTGTAAGACACTGGGACCAAAGTTTCACAAAGTTAAAGTGTGAACTGAAGTTTTGGTGGCCACCTTTCAAACCTAGGACACAGATGCTCAATTATGAAAATCTTGAGGTGCTAACTACCCTAGTGCAGTGGGCCATGACAGCAAAAGGAAGGCATCAAACTCTTGATGCTGTATACCTGAACAATCCTGTCTAATCCATAGAGGTTGTGGCCAAGAAGGCTGCCAGACCCTTTTTGTTGCTACCTAAGGAAATCCCTTTTCTTCCAAGCAAGACAAACTTTGCACAGACCTAGCAACAATCCAAACAATGAAACACATTCTCTTTATGCACCAGCCAGGGTTATAGGGAAGAATGATATTCTCTCGAACATGAAAGGCAGGCACCACCTTTAGCAATTAGTATTGGATAAAGAACCACAGTGTCCTTTGTGTAAAACTACAAATGGAGGCTTATGAGAAGATGGACACTCGGCCTGAAATAGAAGGCAGCTTTTGCTAAAAAAAATGAGAGGTTCAGAATATTTCCGAGGTGTTCTTTGATGAATGGTACCAAATTCAAGTCCCGTGGTGACATCAGATGTAAGTGAATGAAACTGCAGACAGAGGCCCTGTCAGGAATCAAGGAGTGACCAGAAAGGTGTGGACTGACACAGGGAAACGCAGGTTTCAGGTATAGTATAATACAGGTTATTATTAGCCACCCAGATATATATATATAAACGCACAGTGAGCAAACTAACCTTCCACTAATCTTAGGAGGTGCAGGAACACAGGCGTAGTCAGGGCTGGAGAGGTGAAATGGTCAGGCCGACCTTAGGGTTCTGTAACGACTGCCTGGTGGTACCTCTAGCGGTCCTCAGGGCAGGATTCCCCAGGGCGCGGAGTCTAAGTCCCAGTCTGCTATTCACCAGGCCCTGATGGTGGGGATGGACTTGGAGCAGACAGGAACCAGGTCGCGGCCCCTGAGTACACCTGCTAGTGATAGAGGGATCCGCCAGAGGTATGTGCAGGTACGGCTGGATCCGTGCAGGATGGATGGATGGCAGAGTAGTGAGCGTGGTCAGACGGGCCAAGTCAGCAACGTGCGGGCAGCAAGGTATCAAAGGAGCAGGCAGAGAATGGTCAAGGTCACAAGCCGGGTTCAGTAACTCACGGACAGCGCAGTACAGAGGATCAGGCAGAAGGATGGTCAGGGATGAGCCAGTAGTCAGAACAGGAGACGGTCAACAGGAATCAGGATCAGGCAGGGTCGGCAACAAGGTATCTTCTCACAGGAACTAGGAACAGGATACAGGGGCTCATGGGAAAACATACACCAAGGCCCAGAGCACAGGCCTGGTCATGCCTTATATACACCTTTCTGTAATCAGCCCCAGGTTTGGCGGATTGTGAGCTTCTGGCTGCTAAGAGACCCGCTGGTCAGCTCTGGTACTGCAGCCCACACGGCAGGAGAGTCCCACCACCAGTGCTGAGAGCACCCGCTGGTCAGCTCTGGTACTGCAGCCCACACGGCAGGAGAGTCCCACCACCAGTGCTGAATCCATTCCTGACAGAACCCCCCCCTCAAGGAGCGGCCTCAGGACGCTCCAAACAGTCCTTAGTGGGCAAAATGTTCCACCGCCCGGGTCCGGTAACTGGCTGAATATCCTACTGCCGGAGTAAACCGGCTGGCTGGGTTTCCTGCTGGTAGACTTCTCTTTGTGTAGGAGAATCAAGGAAGGCAGGTCACTGGGCACAGGATTTCCAGGAGCAGGCTGGGTATCAGTTATCGGCCAGTTTAACTGGACATCAGGGGCTGGCATGTCGGGCTGTGTAGTGGGCAGAGGCACGTCAGCGGGCACCGAGTCATCTGGCACGACAGCGGGCACAGAGTCACCGGGCACGTCAGCGGGCACCAAGCCTTCTAGCAGAACCGCGGGTACCGGGTCACCAAGCTCGACAGCAGGCACCAAATTAACTGGCACGACAGCGGGCACCGAGTCAACTGGCATGACAGCGGGCACCGAGTCAACTGGCATCGAGTCATCTGGCTCGACAGCGGGCACCGAGTCAACTGGCACCGAGTCAACTGGTACGACAGCGGGCACCGAGTCAACTGGCACCGAATCATCAGGCATCAAGTCATCTGGCTCGACAGCGGGCACCGAGTCAACTGGCACCGAGTCAACTGGTACGACAGCGGGCACCGAGTCAA